TGTTGCTGCAGCTGCCGCTGCTGCAGCAGCTGCCACCTCCTCTGCAGCCCAGTAAGGGGCTTCTTCGGGCTCGTAGCGAATTAGGCCAAGATCAGGGGGGCCCCCGGGGCCCCAAAGGCTCTCAGCCAATAAGAAAGAAGAGCAGCAAAGGCCCCGCAGCAGCCTCTTCAGCTGCGGCACAGCTGCCATTGGGTTGCCAAGGGGGGGCCCCTCAGTAGTGCAGAGAATGCGGGGGAGGGAGGAGGCCCGGGAGGCGAACTCCGTCATGAGGCTCTCGTATGCCCCCAGGCTGCTGCTGCTGCTGCTGCTGCTGTTGTCGTCGAAGCCTACCCCGTCCAGCAGCAGCAGCGCCACGTCTTCCAGCCGCAGAAAGCCGTGCATCAAAAGAGACACGAAGACAGGCACCGAAGAGACAAAGACTCGGGGCCATCTCACAGCAGCCTCGCTGTTGGCTGTTTCTTCCCAGGGGAGAAAAAGGTTCTCCGCTGCTCCACTGGGGGCCCCCCGGGGGGCCCCCAGGGGCCCCCTAGACTGCAGCGCCTCGCGCTGAGACCTGGCGTACCGAAAGGGAGCTAGGGGCTGGAGGAGATTTAGCTGCTGCCTTTCTTGTGGGGTCCTTGGGGGCCACGGCAGCTGCAGCGCAGCAGCAGCAGGCCCATAGCTGGAGAGGCAAATTCCTCTTTTTCTCAGCCTCTGGCTCTGTCTTCTTAGTCATTTTAGTTTCTTTAGTTTCTTTAGTCTCTTTAGATTCTTCAGTTCTTTAGTTTCTCTAGTCTTTAATTTCTTTAGACTTTTTAGTTTCTAGTTTCTTTAGTTCCTCTAGTCCCTTAGCTGGCAGCAAAGGCTCCTGCTGCAGCTGGAGGAATTAATAGGCCCTGCTGCTGTGTGCTGTACGTACACCTAGCCATAACTAGTGTAGCTGTTAGGCTGCGCTCTGCGCATGCATTGCATGAAGCCACGAGGGAGGGTTTAGGGTTTAGGGTTTAGGGTGTAGGGTTTAGGGTTTGACATCCGCTCTTGTGCTGCTGCTGGCTGCTTAGCTGCAGCAAAGCTGTGGGGCCCCCGTACCCCCTTTTGGTCCCTGAGGGCCTCGGTGAATTCTTTAAGGGCCCCCCGGTAGGCTTCCCAGGTAGCGGGGTCCCCCCACTTGACCTGCAGCTGCGCTTTTTGCCAGAGCTTCTCTCTATAGTCTGCTGCTGCTGTTGCTGCTGTGCTGCGGGGAGAGCACAGCCGCACAATCAGGGGGTGGGGCCCCACGCCAGAGCCCCCAGAGGGGCCCCCCGGGGCGCTGCAGTCGCCCTGCGGCTGCTGCAGCAGCAATGCAAAGGCCCGCTGCAGGGCCCCCTGCAGCTGGAGGGCCCCCCGCGGAGTTGCTGCGAGGCAGCAAATGGTCTGCGAAGCCACGGAGAAGTTCTGCAGAAAAGTGTAGACCACCAGGGCCGGCAGCAGCAGCAACTCGCGCCTATTCAGCGGCAGCCACAGCAGGCAGTTGCTGCGCACTGCAGCATCATATGCTGCTGCCTCTTCGGGCCCCAGAGAAATGCCCTGCAGCCCTGCGCAGCGCCACACGCACCCAGCAGCAGCTAGGGGCCTCAGTTGCTGCGCTGGGGGCCCCCCTGGGGCAGCTCAGGGGGCCTGGGGGCCCCTAGCTGCGAGCTGCGCCGCAGAGGCCCCCGCAGCAGCAGCAGCAGCAGTAGCGCCACAGCAGCGGGGCTGCTGCGGGGGCCCTGCAGCAGGCCCGCAGACGCAGCAGCAGGCTGCAGACTCACTCAAACCCTCAAGAAAGCTGCGGGGCAGCGGCTCCACGTAAGAGCAAAGGGGCATGGGGGCCTCTTCTTGGGGGCCCCTGTGGGGAGGGGTTTGCTGCTGCCCGCAGCCAGAAAGCTTCTGTGGCTTTTCTGCGGGCCTTTGCAGACTGGGGGCCCCCTGAGACTTCCCCGCAGCAGAGGGACCCCTCTCTAGTGGGGGTTCAGTGCAGTGGTGGTAGGGGCCCCAGGGAAGCAAAGAGGCCCTCGAGGTGGGGCCCCCTCGCAGCGCTGCTGCCCGCTGCAGCTGCTGCGAGGGGCAGCTGCGGGCCAAGGGGGGCCCCCCAGGTACCCTTTCCCGCTGCGTGGTGCTGCTGCTTGCTCCAGGCCTTACTGAAGCCCCTAAGGGGGCCCCCACGCGCTGCTGAAGCGGCTTCAGGGGGGCCCCGAAGCACTGCAAAGAAGCGCCCAGAGCCCCCTTCAGGGGGCTCCTTGGGGCCCCAATAGAGGTACCCTTGGGGGCCCCCAAGGCTTTTTCTATTAAAGGCATTTTGAGGCCTCCCGCAGCTTCTCCAGAGGGCCTCCCTGCGGCCTTAGCGCCCAGGGGCCCCCTGGGGGCCCCTGAGACAGCCAGCCCCGAAGGGGCCCCCAGGCCCGCAGGCCCTCGTGAGGGGCCCCGAGGGCCTCCCATGGGGGCCCCTGTAGACCTCAGGGGCCCCCCCAGGATAGCGCCACTCACCGGAGGGGCCCCCGGGGGCCCTCTTTCCGAGGCCCCCACTCCCCGTGGCTGATCCAAACCCTCAACAGGTGAAGAGCCCAAACAGCCCAGGGGGCCCCTACCCTTGATAGGTCCCCACAGAGCCCTAGGGCTCTCCTGAGGGGGGCAGGGGGGCCCCCTGGCGGCGCCCCTGGCGGGTCCCCTCTGGGGTCCGCAGGGCCCCGCCGGGGGCCCCGGGGGCCCCGAGGGACCCTCCTGCTGGTTGCGGGCGCTGGCTGGGGCCTTTCTAGGCCAGGTGGGCCCCCAGCCGGGGCTGCTGCCCCAGTTTACCATGGGCGCTGGGGAGTCTCGGGGTCGTCGGCTGCGGCCTTCTAGGCATTGGGGGCCCCTGGGGGCCTCCAAAGAGCAGCAAAAATAAATTAAATGGCTGCAGATGGGGGTATGGGGCCGCAGCAGCCGCTGAGGCCATCTCCTGGCCCCTCGCGGCTGCGGCCGGGGGGCCCCCCGGGGGCTCTCC